CTTTTTTTTTTTTTTTTTTTAGAAAGAAAAAGGAAATCAGCAGGCTAAGGAGATACCCATTCAAGAACTGACATGATTAAAAATTAAGATATAAATGGGTGACTCACAATTTCATTAGCTTACAAAGATGGTGGAGTTAACTACTACAAGCACACTAGTTATACAGTATTTTGTGGGAGAAGGGCATACAGACATAGCTAACTTCATATAGATCCCATTAGACAACTGGATTTACAACAAGTTTTTTTTTAATAAGAAATGGGCAAAGCCAGCTTTCTTTTCAGAATCAAAATGCAGAACAAATGGAAAAATTATGGTATTTAACCTTCACAAGTTTGAGCCTCCACAAATAATGCAACCAAATTTTACATTTTTAACAGCCCTTCTACATACACTCCATCTTCTCCATCTCAGTTCCAAGTCTTATCTTCATTCCCAATTATGCCAATTCCACTGTTAGTCTGACAGAAAAAGCCTTCCCAGATTTTGTCAGATTTCTACTTAGCTTACCCCCTCCACTATTACCCAAAAAACTAGAGAAGATGGAGTGTAATATGAGCAGTACAGAGTCTTATGAAATTCATGGGGACCACTTAGTCCTTCCATGAATCTGGTTGCTAACATTTCTATTATATTGTGACAATGACTCCCGACTGTTATTCTCTGTGAGAAATGGGGGGAGTAAATTCTTAATAAAAGACACCAGGTACAAAGCAACATTTTACTTTTGTTGTGATAAAAAAAAAGTCACATTTTACAGATAAAATGTAGAACCCTGAAATACTGACACATTCTCTTATCGTGCACAATGCTGAGGTTCTCTTACGATTCACTTTAAAACTGCAATTAAAAATGTACAAAAAAGAAAAGAAAAAAAAATCAACCCACAAAGCTTCTAAAAAAGGAACCCGCAGGCACTTCCTCTTGTGGAATGTTTAAAAAGTTAGCCTACTAAAGAAAACAGTCGACTTCTTGTGAAGGTTTTGGAGAAATATGTATCAGTTCGTTTTATTTGGGTATTCAATAATATCCTTGGTGATAATGCTGACTCCATGGCTTCTGACCCCAGAATTGCTGTAAGAGAAAATTTTTTTTTTAAAGAAAAAACATCAATAAGCCACTCAAATTGCTTTTAGGAAATGACAATGATCTAATTCACAGTAACTGCTGGAAATAAATTTATACTTGTCATACCTCTGATTTCTATCAAACCAGACTTTTAATAGCTCGTTATTTATCAATACACATTACAAAAGGAAACAGGGACTGGTTAGTTTACACAATTAAAGCTAGCAGTAAAAAGAACAAGATAATATCACATTACTTTATTATGAAAATATTAAGTTACAACAATCTCCAACCTATTTATTGTTATAGATAAAACACAATCCACACCTTGCTCTATTAATATCTATAAACACTTCAATCCCCAGACAAGCTCTTTTTCAACTCACTTTTGCAGAAACTCAAAATATAATTAATATACATATTCACATAAGAAATTACTTACACCCTGCTGCCACTGGTTGTAGCCCTGAGATTGATTTTTGTAGCCACGATTGTTTCCTCGTCCTCTGAAGTTCTATGAAAACATAAAATGACTTTTAAGAGCTCTGAACCCTAAAGTTTAGCATGCTTGTAGGGGTGTAGTTGGGACAGGGCAGAAAAACATATTAGACACCAAACTTGGTGTGTGTGTGGGGGTGTGGAAACCCTGGAAATATTTTGGTTTCAAAGTAATTTCAATTTTTATACATTACAAACCCACATTAACAGTTGCTGGTTAGCACACCTGAAAAGCAAGTGGACTCATTTTGCCATTACTAGGTTTTTTGTTTTCTGTCAGTGCATATGATCTTCATTTTCATTACTGAGAATCTTTAACATAGGCCTACCACCTTCCAGACAATTACATGGACTACTAGTCCCCCATGCATCTTCAACCATTACCTGGTTGTAGTTCCCTCTGTTAGGCATTCCACCTCTGTTGTAGTTCCCTCTGTTTGAATAGCCACCTCGGCCAGGAAAAACAGGGCCACGAGGGTATGGATAACCGATTCCACCACTTCCACCACCTCCACCACCTCTCTGAGGCATATTGCCCCTCCTATTATATCCACCACGGTTCCCAGGAGCTGAAAAACAAATAATAGTTTTTAACTGTATTGTGCCTACTTGCACACTATTTGTGGTTCTTTCCAGACCATAATACCTATTTTTTTAAAACTTAAAAATGTTGAAGAACAAAAGTAATGTTTAATTTTGACCACTCACAACCCAAAGTATGTTTAGAAACCAATCATATCAAGATCTAAAACTTGCCTCCCCCTCTGAAGTTTCCACCTCGCATATTGAATCCTCCGCGTCCTCTATGGCCACCACCTCTGTTAAACTGGTTTTTGCCACTCTTATTTTTATTGCTCTTCTTTGAGCCAGTGTTCTGTTTCTTTTCTGGTGGAAGTGCTTTTTTGCTTTCTTCCTTATATTGCTCCAAAAGTTTCTGGGCTTCTTCCTTCTGAAGTTCAACATAGGTTATTTCATCAAAGCACTCAGCTACTTCTGGCAGGGTAAAGTTTCCTGCAGGGAATAAAGTCAGTCAAACTAAACTTAGAAACTTACTACAAGAATCTACACTCCTAGAACTTCCAATTCCTGAAAATGGCTCTAGTTCAACAGATTGTAACATCTAACTAAACAAGGTCCAATTACATTTTCTTAAAGAATAGAATGAGTCATTCATTTATACGTGCCAAGAGTTAATGTAATTCTTCAGTCTTGCTAGTAAAACTTAATTTTTAAGATATAAATCACAGAAACCATGAAAATAAATTCCATGCCTTTCATTTTTAGGACTGCGTGTTCTGGCAGGTCTTTTCCCTCTACTTCTGCTTTCTTCTGTGTTCTCTGTTTATAGTCTTCATCTTTTGGGCAAACTACCACAGCTTTTCGCTGGAAGCCTGCAAACAGGCACATTTTTCTTCTCTGGGCAGCAGCAGACACATTTGTCTTGGGGGAAAAAAACATTGAAGTATTTTAAACATTTCTATCACCAAATTAGCATCCCCCTCCCCATTTCAAAGCCACAGCTTACCTGATCCAGAATGAAATTTCGCTTCTTACGGGCAGCAATCTCTATGAACTTTCCAAGACACTGTGGGGCTCGCTGCAACAGTGTGTTCAGCTTTCCAGTATCTGCCATTTGCTTCTTAAAACCTGCCACCTATTTTAAAAGTTCAAATTCTTAAAACTTTTGAGTCAATTTATTCATTTAATACTTGCACATACCTAGATAGGAAGAAGCGACATTTTATAAGCCCTTTTCCATTACTACTACAAAAGTAGTAACTCTAGTTAGACATACTAGCACATGCCAATAATCCCCACCACTCTTAGAGGTTGAGGGAAGAGGATCCTGGAGTCTTCCACCTTAAGACCCTGTCTCAAATAAAATTATATTAAATTAAATTTAAAAATCTTATTTAACAAAACACTATTCAAAATCTGTTCAACTCTTTACTTCTGGATAAATTCCTATCAGAAGGCTGTTTTACCCTAAAGATAAGAAGAACTTACTTTATCCAATTTACAGTAATTTTGCCCTTAACTCCAACATCTGAGGTAATAAGACATATAAAAACAACAGGCAAGTACATTACACAGAATAGCTTCTTTTATTTTTTTGGCAGTGCTGGAGACTGAACCCAAGGTCTCAAACATGCTAGCCAGCCCTACCACTGAGCTACATCTTCCTTTCCCTTCTGGTCTACATCCAATCCCATTTTACTTACCATCATTTTGTCCATAATAGTATTTGTTCCAAGAATGTTATATTTACCAGGATTTTCAGCTGCATGTTTAGTAACCCAAGTAGTTTTTCCAGCTCCTGGCAAGCCAATCATCATCACAACCTACAGCAAGGAAAGTCATTTGACGGTTTAAACATTTTTAATCTTAACAAGCAGCTGATTTGAAAATTCACGTGATTGCAATTTGTGTTCATGGGAAGCTTAACACACAAGGGAACTGACAACAAAAAAATGCAGAGTGAAATGGAAAGTAAATGGTTAACGGGGGAGTGGGAAGGGGCGGGGAAAGGAAATAGGGAAAGAAAAAATGGAAACGAAAGTCTATATATAGAGAAGAGTGACACGGAGGGCAGAGATATTGGGTGAAAAACAAGAACCAAGACATATGGAAAGGCACAAAATCCCAATGACAAATTTAACTGTATTGCTTGATTTAAAGGTACCGATAAACTTAAATGGAGTGAACACTGAGAGCAAAAGGAAAAGCAGCACAAGTACCAATCATTTAGCATTTCTCAAAGTCAGTTTTGCCAAAAGCAATCTTCATGTGCTTTTTTAAAAACAGAACTTACTTCACAATCTTTCTTTTCTTCAGGCCCCTTCGGTCCTCTTACTCGATCCTCTAAGGGGACATCTTGGATAAAAGTATAGTCTTCAGGTATTGGAAAATATGGCTTTTCCTTCTGACCGAAATTAAATTCAACTGCACAGTTGTGGCAGAGAACATGTGGGAACAGTGGCCGCCCAGCAAGAATTTCCTTACTAATTTTGAAGGCAACACCAAGTTCTTGTCCATTCTTAGCATAGGAAAGTTCTACTTCATCACTTTCAAAGTTCTGTTAAAGAGAAAGGAAAATAAAATTTGAGAATAAGCTTATCTTGTAGAATATATAAATGCTAAAACTTTATGCTAAATGTTAAATGCTTTATGTTAAAGTGCTTTTTTAAATGCTAAAAACTCAGTTATTAACAATGGAAGACATGTATCTACAATCTGAATATAGCCCTAAATAATGGCCCATTTTCTAGTTCTCAGGTCAACTTAATAGTTTTCAGCCAAAATCTATTAGTGATTTCTTCCTCAAAAATACCATGGTGTTCCCAATTCACATAGTCTTTTATCCCAGAGCTAGGGTCTGTACCTAATCACACACTAAAATATTCTTCACTGTAGCTAATGCTATTTCATTTATAGACTCTTAGGTACAACTTACAGCAAAACAAGTAATCACATCATTTTCATCAAACTTTTCTCCATAATCTTCTGTCTCACAGTTGCATGTTTTTATTCCTTTCAGAGAATATCCGTAAGAAAATTCTTCTTCGCCTAAGAAAATAACTTTTATGAAGTCAATGTCTTAAACACTCCAAAGACCCATCTATTTGATTATAACTATTTGATAAGGGCACCAAAGAAAATGTGTATAAACTTAGTAATCTTTGATTTATATTAGGCCTGTATCAGGTACAGAATTGAAAGCTATGTGGGATAAACACAAAGCTAGTCAACAAAGCTTGTCACTTGGAAGATTCTATTTCAATTGTTTTGTAACTTCAGAAAGTATAGAGACAAAAACTACAATTTAGCATGTGCCTACTGTATGGCTAATGCTGGTCGGCAGAACACTAAAACACCTAAAGACTTAAGACTTAGAACCCTGTCGGTAACATTCTTGAGCCCAGGGGAGTCAAACTGTTAACTTTACCAAGCAACATTCCACTTGTGGTTAGTGACCATCCAATCCGAACTTCATGTATGTCAATATCTTTTGTATATAAATGCCTTACAGGGATTTTCTCTGTAACCTGAAATTCAAATTATTCAACAATTAAACTGTAAACCAAGGAAGGTTAAAGCTTCAACTCTGGGTTTCAACCTTGCCTTAATTCTCATCTTGCTATTAATGTAAGAGGACTCTATTCACCTTCCTCACCTTTCAATATCCCAGCCCCAGCTTTTACAAGAATTTCAAACTGATACAAGCACTTAGAACTCAATTTTGAAGCTTAATCTGAAGTTCATTTAACACTTAAAACAGTGAATTTGAGTTAAATTTTTGCCTTATACACAATTAAAAGTACACATTTTTCTCTCCAAAACTGAACTAGGGAGCTTTTCTAAAAACAACGAACAAAAAACACCCTTAGCCTTTCCTAGTAACTGCTATAAAAAGAGTGCCCTAATTAAAACTCCAGCTGACTCTGGTGACATTCTGATTTCACAAATTTAATTGCTAATTTAAAAAGATTTCAAGCCTCTTGTAACTGACAAAAATTTTCGAATGAAAGCTCAAAACGGAGAAAAACAAAAATCACAAAACTGCATTTACCTTCATCTCAAAACAGACTTTGCCTTTTGACACACCATAGGAGGCCCTTCCTCCAGCCCAAAGAAAAGCAAAGCTCTCCATAGTAAGGGAAGAAGCACTGAGGCGATCTCTTGATATTTTAAAATGTAGATCACAATTATCTGTAATCAAATACCATATTATTCTTTTGACATCCAATGTGTTTATGCTACATAGACAAAACTTGGCTACTAAATTTTCACATGTATTTTTAATGCTGCATAGAACAGTGTTTTTAAAAAATCATGCTTTTCCAACTTTTCCATTTAATCCCCACTCCCACCAAGCCACTCTGTAAATTATGTACTGGAGAGTAAAGTGCCTATTAACATCAAAGAACATGTGTCTTAAGCATGTAAAATAAGACAATGTAACATTAATACATACCTGCTCTGCTCTTTACCTTGGTTTAGAGGCAAGCAGTAGAGGATAGCAGGAAATCAAAGTGAAGCATACCAGAACCAGGGATTTACCAGAGCCACAATAATACTGAAGGGAGGCCATGACCAAATCATTTTAAAATAGGAGCATGAGCGTTAATCCTGCCCTGTAACCTAACATCAGAGCTCTAGCTCCTAAATTCTTTTCTAAAACTTGTGAATATGGCAGTCTCCACCTACAAACCGAGCTGTCCCAAAGCTGCTATTATTAGGGGACTTTACTTAGGTTCCCTTTCCCCAAGTTAACCAGTTACAACAATTAGGGATTAACTACTTCCTGGAATATCCAAATCGAAAAACATCTTCAGCTACCTTGGGGTCACTAGCTCATTAACCCGCACCGTCTCATTCTAACTTGGGAAACAGCTAAACTCTAAGTCAAGTTAGAATGCTGTTTATTTTGTATTAGCGAGGATTAAATATCCAAGTTGGAATTCCCAAATAAGCTTTGCTCCTGAAGTTCCTGATCACTGTCAGAATTCTCAACGTAACAATTTGTATTTAAACTCATTACTGCACTTAACATTGGTATTCCTAGTTGGTTTGCACTAAAAACTGATTTCCTAACGGTGGCAATATTAACCTCTTGAATCACTGCTTCACCACCCTGCCAAATAGGTTTTATACTTAAGCAACTGAATTTCACATAAAACTCTTGAACTACTTTTCCATTTTTTTACAAGACAACCACCAACTTTTCAGTTTTTACATTTACACCCCTACAAATGTAAATAGAAACAACATGTACAAGGAAATGTAAGGCTCTAATCTTCAACTCATCTAACATTTTTTAATCACTTATTTCTACACTGCTCTAGTCATAACACTGAACAGTTTTGCACCCTGACCAAATACTAAACTAATGTAATTTTTTTAAATTAAAAAGCATGAATCTGACAGCCAAGGCCTATTAGAAGGTTTGCAATACTTCCTCGTAACTGCAACCCCATTTGGGTAAAGTAGCAGTATTTACAGCGCTGCCATTGATACCATTCGCTGCTGAAGAAAGCTAGTGGCCCAGTGATAGCCCACTGCTGCTGCCCCAGGTCTTTGGAAGAAATCAACTTATGTTAAAGCAGCAGCTACTGAACTGGAATTGAGAACAAAAGAGCAGTTATTGAAAAAATATTATTACAATCTTTTAGAATAGGGAATATACTTGTGTGCTAATGGGGAAAATCATTAGTAAATATTTAGCTAGCCCAAATAGCTCACTTAATATTTAATTCCACAAAAAGCACAGACTATCACAGACACCTTATTGTAAGGACAGGATAGTTTTACAAGTTTCCATTAGTTAGTCAAACACTGGCATTAATCTTACATCCCTAAGAATAAGAATCCTCGTCATAAAAATATCAAATTGCCACAGCCTGTGAGATTAACGGAAGCCATACCAAATATTAAACTATTACTAGATTCTGAATATAGACCGTTATTTTCCTGCCCTAAACTCTAACCTGTTTTCCCCATTAAATTCAGGTTTTCTAATATGGAATCAAAAAACCACCGCTTTTGGTAGAGTGGGGCAAAGAGGGAGAATCAGCTTCACTTACAAGTATCAAGACAAACCACTGTGTCATCGAAGTGCTCATCTTCTTCTTCAACAGGTGGCTGAGGAGATTTGGCTCTGAAAGACAGAAACGTCTCCTGGTACCAGCTCTTCCATCAACCCATGAGGAATGGGTGGCGAGCGGATCTAAGTTAGCATCCTGTACCTGCTGTATTTGTTTTCTTCGATGTACTCAAAATATCCTCGGCCATGATCTTCTCGAGGTCTCTTAACGCCTCTCTTTTTATCTCCGCCTTTCTGCTCTGTTTTGCCATCTCCTATAACACATAACACCCCTTTAAGAAGCCAAGCCGCAAGACTACCACAAATACCAGAAATCGGGACGGCGAACACAAAAATTCCAAAAAGCACCGTTTCTATATCAAAGGGAAGGAAAAAAACAAAAAACAAAAAACAAAAACTCGACCGTACCCTATTACTCTTCTTAATCGATTTTCTAAACGACGAAACACACGAGATCTCAAAGAACAATCGGCTTACACCAGGACTGGCACTAGCGGCACAGTCCTTTCGCCGGGCCGCTCGACGG